AGCCTGATGGCCTCAAGAACAGCAGGGGGCAACTCCGGCTTGGAACTCTTGGTTTGGCGCTGCCCAAGCGTTTGTGAGCCCTGCCAAACACTTGATTTTGCATGTCTTGAGCCCCAATGGAATGGTCTCTGGCAATGATAGGATAACAAGAGCGATGGAATCGATAGCGTCTTGGCGCACTAGGGCACACAGTGCACGCATGTCGGTATAAGATGGTGCTTTTATCCTGCCAAGTGGCCTTCAGCACCCAAGCTGTAGCCAATGACGGTGTGGCAAAGAGCTGCTCCAACCTTACGATTAGTGGGAGAACGAAGCTGGCAACCGGTTGTTCGTGGAAGAGCCTGCTTGGCAAAAGCAACACCTGGATCCGCAATAAAGCTTTTGAGCACGCAGGAATTCTTGACTGTCAATCATTTCTCCTGTCGCGCAGGCTGCCATTTTAAAAGCAGGTTCCAACTCCGTCTTGATACAGTGTCAGAAAATCATCGGGCCGAGCCCTCTGGTCAAAGAAGAGGTAGTTGGCGAGAAGAAAGTTGAGACGATGCCGGACCGAAGAATTTCCAAAGCTGCTTGGCAAAGGCCCGTGGACCTTCATGATCTAACAGCTGTTTGCGACCAGATTGTGGAAAGTCCCGACTTGAGCAGCCGAAGAGACTTTTTCTGAGCAAATCCGCATCTAGAAGCACACCTATGTTCCATGTGCTAGAATCCCTTTCAAATAGCATTTCTGGAACGCCTTGCCAGGCAGGATCCGAGAACCTTCACGAAGGGGGAACTTCGGTTGTGAGGGGGCTTCATCCTCTCTTTGAAGCCTTCAAACAAGATATTGCCAACTACAGGAAAGACGCCCAGTCTCTTCTCCGCCCCTGTTAACCGAGCTGGGTAGTTGCCTTTTTCTGTGCCACGGCACTGAGCTTCAAGACCCAGCAGCCGCGCTTGCAGGCTGGCAAGTGATGTGAGCTCTCACATCTTGCCACCTATTGGCTTGGGATCTCAAGAGGATACTCCGGCAACCTTTTAAGCTTGCGTTTGTCTGTGCTTGATTCTAATTGAGAAAATCCAGTTTGCTTGAACGGTCTGCAACCAACCAAGCGGCAAGTATTTAGATAAGTCTCCACAACATTTGGCTAATTTTGAAGCGCAGCAGTGTTGCTTCTTGTCGTTCTAACTTGAAGAAATAAAGCAGGCTTTGAAGGTCAAAACGAAGAAGGGTGGCTTGCTTCGAAAGCTTCGAAGGGAGGACGAAAGGGAGCTTCGAAGGCTTCGAAGGTGAGGACGAAGGGGCTTCGAAGGCTTCGAAGGTGGGGGCTTCGAAGGCTTCGAAGGGAGGACGAAGGAGAGGGGCTTTCGAAGGCTTCGAAGGTGAGGACGAAGGAGGCTTCGTCCTTCCTTCGAAGCCTTCGAAGCCTTCGAAGCCACCTTCGTTCTCAAGTCGAAGAGGAAGATTTGACCTTCAGCGCAAAGGAACTTCGAAGTTCCTCTCCAAGGCTTGCACACTTCCAGAATAGAGTTGCCAACCGCTTTTCCATTACGTTGAATCTTTGTTGGAACTCCAATCCACTTGCCCTTTGTATTGTTGCTTCTTGGGCTGACTTTCTCTTGCAGAAAGAACAGTCCTTTGACGAAATTCAGTTGCCAACTTCTGCAAGACCTCTGCAGGCAATGATTTCGGAGTTTTAGAGTTAGGTTTTTGGGCGAGCTGATCGGAGGAGGAACTTGGCAAAGCACACGTGAGCCTGACGGAAGCATGTCCAGTTTCCCTTTGCGAAGGGGGGCTTGGAAGCCTTCGAAATCTTTGAAGCTGAAGGTTGAAGGGGGGCGGGGGTTGGGGAGGGGGCGTGAAGGTCTGAAGGCTTCGAAGGCTTCCAAATTAAGGACGAAGGTCTTCGAAGGCTTCGAAGGCGAGGACGAAGGGGGCTTCGAAGACTCCGTCTTATTACTTCTCCGATTTTTCAAATAAAGAAAAACAAAAAAAAAAGAAGATTCGAGGGGGTGGAATTTAGAAGAAATTCCCTTCTTCATTCTCTGATTTTTCGAAAGATTACGAACAACAAAAAAGATTCGAGGAAGGTGGAATTTAGAACACCTTCTCGCAGAAAGAGGTGTTGACAGAGTTGTGGTTGCTGGCAATTTGAAAGTGCTTGCAATTGAAGAGCTGTGTCTTAAGAAGAACAGTTTTTTCCTGCATGACCGATTCCGCCGGCTTTGGCTTGGAACTGAGGGCAAAGGAGGATTCCTGGGGCCGGACATTCTATGCCCGCTTGCACAGTTTGTCTACGAAGGTTTCTGGCAACGTGAAAAGGGCGGGAGGTATGGAGTTAAGGCCACTTTTTCTTGAGCAGCTGTGATCACCAGTCGAAGGCTTTGAAGGGGAGGATAAAGCCCTTTGGCATCAGAATTTTGTTCAACCTCTTGTTAGGACTTTTTCCAGCGATGATGTTAATAATGAATCCAACAACTAAGACACGCAGTGAAAACTTTGTCACTGCTAAAATATGTTCCATTGATAATGGTGAGAGCTTCAAAAAGGGAACAGGCCATCCTTCTCTGTTTTCATGCACTTTTCACTTCTCCGCACAAAACATCCCAATACTGGAATTCCGACAAGTAGTGGCGCTACGAGCCAATTTTGTCAGAGCTGGAAACTTGTGCATTGGCTGAAGGCGCCAAAAAAGGCTCTGCTTCCTAACTTTGATTTTCGATGTCTTTCAAGCTTAACAGTCACCTCGTTCCTTAGAGGATTCTTTACTTCCACTTTAATGGAGGTTCTTCTTGAATTTTTAAGACTCCAAATGCTGGCATTCATTTTTTTGAAATCGAACTCTTGTATTTGTTTTAATAGGGTTCGCGTTAAAGCTTCAAGATGCCCATGGAAGGGTGATCAATGTTCACATTTACGATTCTTTAGTAATTTTAAAAAGCATTCCTATTCCATTTTATTTTTCGAATCCTGTTCATTTCAATTGGACCCCCAATTTAATTATAATTCAAAATATTAATGGCAATCCTACAAGCTAAAAGGTTTATTAAGGCTGATAACAATTCTAACAGTACGACTCTTATCGTGACCGTTTAGAGAATTGAATTGGCTCCGCTTAATCTTAGGATTCATTTTCATCTTAAACGGATTCCTGTTACTCTTGACAGTCTTAACAGAAGAGGTTTCCTCATAATGTCAATATCCTTCCTATGAATTCAAAAGGGTTCTTATTCATTTCATTGGGCTTCCTATAGATATCTATATATTAAAAAAAAAAGAGTCAATTTCTATTTGAAGTAAAAATAAACCTAGAATTGAAAATGGTAAAACTCGTATTACACCAAAGTCAAATAGTATATCAGGTAAAATATTTAAGTATTTGTAAATTTACGTCACACGGTACACGTTACTTTGGAAAAGCAACAATAGTTCTTCCATTACCCATGGAAGGCCGTAAAAGAGTAGCAAAGAAAATGTTACATTCACTTGAAAGGCGAGGGTGAAAAAATGTGACCGTTCTGGCAGTATATTGAATACAAATGTTTCCAATATACCGTATATGTATATTGTAATATATCAACAGAAGAACTTTCATAACGGCAATATATTTACATATTCTTATATATGGTATGTTGGAAACATATACTCAATAAATAGCCAAAAACGGTGACCGTGTTTAACCGTCGTTTTCGAAAAAGAGCTTTTTAGATACAACGCAATTTTAATTATGTACAGTAATAGTCATTGTAGGGATGTTGAGTTAATACCCTTTATCACTATCTCTTCCTCAAATTGCATTCATTTTGGCACCACTTTTTTTCTAAAACCATTGATACATCAGTTTGTATGGGTAATGATTGCTGAATCAAATGCTTGCTTGACAATGCGAGATAATGTGAGATAATGGAAAGAATAGTTTAAATAATAAATGGGCTCTGATGAGCAACATTTTTTCGTTGGTTTATAACTTACCATCCCTACTTTATTATTTAGTCCCCAAAACATATGCTCCTTTTCATAATTCATTATGTATGATTCTGTCATTTTTGTAACATGTGCAAATGTAAAAGCAAATCTAACCTTTACTTGATTTTTAGACTTTGGTATTTGATGTTCTCCTATTGCATGAGCAATCTTTGATATTCTTAAACTTATTCCCTGATTGATGAGTGAATTTTAATGTAGTACAGTCGTCGTTGTGGTCGTCGTCGTTGTCGTCATCGTCGTGGTAGTAGTTAGGAGTAGGAGTAGGAGTAGGAGTAGGAGTAGGAGTAGGAGTAGGAGTAGGAGTAGGAGTAGGAGTAGGAGTAGGAGTAGGAGTAGGAGTAGGAGTAGGAGTAGGAGTAGGAGTAGGAGTAGGAGTAGGAGTAGGAGTAGTAGTAGTGGTAGTGTGAGCAGCAGCAGCAGCAGCAGCAGGTGTACTTATCTCCCAAATTGTGGCAACCTCCTCCGTGTCTCTGCGGCCTTTTGCGGCCTCGCAAAAATCGTTGCTTACGTACGTGTCATTTGGCGTGCTTGTTTCTTTATGATATTCGTTTAATGTTTGATTGACAGAAAGTGGTGCTGACGGTCGCTGACTAGTGGCTTTCGCGTTGAAACACAGAAGCTGTGTTCGCGTCCACGACGCCAAGACAGACGCAGGTAACACCTGTTCGTTGCCAACCGTACTCAGCGGGTAGAAGCCAAGTGCGAAGCCCGATTCGCACGCACTTTGCATAGCGAAGCTTGGGTCGTCTATTTTCGTGTTTGTGCGGGTGTTTGTTTGGTGTTGAAAGGTGGGAGGGAGGGCGGCGTTATTGTGTTGTTGCGTGTATAATTGTGGTTTTGGTTTACACGCATGTTTTGAGCCATCTTCTTGTAGCTGATACATTGCACTGCAACTTCAGGCTCCAGGACGTGCAGACGGCAGGAACAGCAAGCATTTGAAATCACACTTTGCATACTAACAGCAAGCATTTGAAATCACACTTTGCATACTTCTTCTTTGGTGCCCATAGCTTTAGCACACGTCCTGCGAGCCATGGAAAACGGGGGGGACGTCGCACATGCCCCCCCCCACGCATCGCTCGTTGGACTGTTTCTGCAATACAGTCTACCGCTGCAAGTTTCTTTGCACTGCACAGCATCCTACTGCAATGCCATTACAACAACGAGCACAACATTTGCATAAGCATTCGCCCGCAGGTACTCTCCGACGACTCGCACAGCGCGGAGAACCCCACGCAAAGGGGACAGCAAGGAGCACAAGGCCGATTTCCCGCGGTACCCGCAAGTACCCACTGCGCCCGCATGGCATCTAAGCACAGTTGGCATCGCATTTGCTTGCGCGGCAACCATGCTGCACCGCAACCGCAGGTGTATTCTTGGCATAGCCTTAGCCTCGCAGTGGCTTCTGACAGGCGGCACAGCAGAAGAAGCTCCCGCACGAGACCTTCTCCGCCAGCAACGCCGGGTGCCAAAGCACCCTGCCCGCATGGCACCTGCAGCACAGCTTGCATCGCATTTGCTAGTTTTCTCTTTCGAACCACATTGGTCAGCACAGCATTGCAGTGCCAGAGGGGAATTTGCTCCACAGCATGCACAGCACTTGCAAGTTGTTCCTGCGCATCGCAATTGTTATAATTGGGAACCTCGTTGCATCGCATTTGCAAGCCAATTGTTTGCCATCTGCAGACCAGCATAGGCTCAGGCCTGTCTGCCTTCTCTCGCTGCACTCTCTAAGCTAGCACGTTGCAATGTCCGACACGCCTGCGGATGATGCCGCAAGCCACGCCACAGACGCAGCTTGGCGTACGATCTTGTCGCAGACCGATGCACAGTTGAGGCACGGACTGCTGCAGCTGCCATCCGCGCAGCAGCAAAGGCTTGCCTTCATGGCGTTGCAGTGCATCTCTGGCGCCGGACAGCACGCCGAAGAACACCTGCCAACCTGGCGCAGAGCCACCGAAGCTTTCTGGCGCCGCACGGAAGGCCAGCACGGCACTGCACCGCCCGCAGCAAGCAAAGGCAAGCCCATTCCTGCCGGCAAGACGCCAGTCCCCGCACTGCCACCCGCACAAGCACAGCCGGCAACAGCTGCAGATGCACCACCGCAGCTCGAGCCGGGATTGCAAGCAGTGCTTGCTGGCATGATGTCGGAGCTGCGTGACTTGCGCGCACAGCGCAGCTCCAGCTCCACCAAGGGCATTGAGTACGAGCCACGGCCGCCGAAGCCGGAGACACAGCCCGGCCCTCCGCCCACCCTTACAGCACCGCTGCAGCCGCCGCCACCTAAGCAGCCAGCACCGCCAAAGGACCCACAGCCACCGCGTGCCCAGCCCAAGGAAGGACTGTCCCAGGCGGCGCCGCCCAAGAAGCCGCCAGTCCCGGCCCCGCCGCGCAAAGCCTGGGCGGACGAGACGCATGAGCAGCCAGCAAAGCCCAGCAAGTTTCCGGTGGTCGAGCCTGGCACCGCAAAGCCCCGCGCCGCACAGCATGGCACCGCAGAGCCGCCCCGCGCCGCGCCCTCGGCAATTATCGAGGCGCCGGACGGGAGGGGCCCAGGGGTCCCCTCCCACCACATGCACAGCACCGCGCCGCACGGCACCAAGCCCGGTTGGGAGCCCGCGCTGCCTGCCCTCTGCATGGGGAAAATCTTTTTTACTGCGGATGGCCGCCCATGGTGTCGCCATCCGCAGCGTGGCAACATAATGTGTTGCGTGCGCTGCAAAGACCCGCACTGCGCATATGATGGCAACGCGCCTTGCAATTTTCCAATTAAGCTTCCATTCGAAATGGACACGCACCGCTCCCATAGATGCAGCCAGTGTATGGCGGCACACAACGCACAGCAAGGCAAACCCAGCGTGCAACCCTTGGAGAGTCCGCTCGACAAGTGAGCACGCGCACAGCACCGCACAGCGCCGCACTCTCCCTGCTTTTCTTTCTGTACAGCTGCACCGCACTGCATTGCACCGCATTTTCTGCAAGCAGGGACGCTGCATTTTCGCAGCAGAATCAGCACCCAGCGCATGTCCGCGGGAAAAAAGATTCGGCAGCTCGCATTGCACATGCCGCCTAAGCATACAGCCCGCATGCGCTGTTGAGCAGACTTACCACAGCTCATTTACATGTACTCTTCTAGCTTCCCGCTCGCCCAGGTCTTTACCACTGGCAACTCATCGACGACATCGACGCACCGCGCCTGCCTCCTGCATCTTTGGGTTCCGAAACGTGCTCAGATTCTGCACTGCATGCACCGAGCGCAACTGCCGATTGTCCTGCCACCTTGTTTTACCCAAGCCCTGAACCCGAAATAAGCTACTCCCCAAGCCCCGGGTCAGCAACCTCGCCCCCCCGACTCCAACTGCACGAGACTTTGCACGAGGCAGCCCGCCGATTGCTGAGCGAGAGAAATTCGGCATCAGGCCGATTCCAAGCAGCAGCGAGCCTCGACAAAGGCACCGAGGCCCCCAGCATGCACAATGCAGAGGACGACCCCATCGCCGATTCAAGCCCACCACGGGCCTCACAGAGTAAGCGTAACCTGGACCCCGCTTTCCTTAAGGCCTGTCACCCTAAGCGTAGAGTCACACAGGCACCGACCCGTGCTTCAACACCGCGCCATTCCATGCATGACCTGCTGCACCACTGCAACGCCTGGGCCGCATTGCCACCCGCAAAAGCTCGCCCAGCAGCGCGTGCACCGCCGCCTGTGCCTCCTGCCCCGCTGCAGGTGCTAATGCACCCACCTGCACAGCGTTGGGATAATAATGCCCTAAAGCCCCAACCCCTAGCACCCCCCCCCCCTAGACCCACGCCACGCAGCCTCAACTACTCCAGGGCGCCTGCCCAGCTGCGCGCGAGCACCGCACCACTGCATCCACACGCTCCTCCCTTGCAGCAAATAAAAGCACCGCAGGCCCCACGCCTGGCGTCTGCTCCCACAGTGTACAGCTTCCACGCGGCCGCCACTACCCGCGCGAGCAACGCGCATCGCAAGGAGCGTGCCCTCACCAGATTCATTGCACTGCTTGTGATGGCCGGCACAGCCAGCGAGATATATGCCAATTTCCACGACAAGCCGACATTCCATGATCACGCTCGCCAATGCATAGCAAAGAACTCCGCCAGCACGCTGGATCGCTACATCAAATGCCTGGAGCACTTCACCGACTACCTTGCAATGTGGAAGTCGTCTATGGCCACCTGTGATTGGCCGTGCATTGCAGACTATCTGCATTCAGCTAAACAAAGCAAGCTCTGGGACAGAGCGTGCCACCAAGCCCCCCCCACGATGTGCATCAAAGCACTGCGCTGGTTTGCACGGCAAGCGCAAATACCAAACCTAAATGCGGCCATGTTCCGGCCATTAATCTCAGCATATCTCGTCAGAGATGGCCCCCGGGACAGACGAGAAGCAATGCCATTGCCCATGGCCTGCGTCGTTGTGTGGGAGCAATGCATCTGGCGCAAACTGGGCCCGACGAGCCTGCGCTTCTGGCTCGGCGCCGCACTGCTCTGCGTGCACGCATCGCTCCGCTGGGGCGACGCGCAGCGAATTGATTGGTCTTCTCTGGACCTCACCAGCACTGCGCTGCGCGGCACCTGCTATGCAACCAAAACCACCAGTGACGGCCAGCCATGGGCCGTCCACTGGCGGGGCCTCACCGGCCGAGACCCCAGCACGTCCTGGGTGGTGCATTGGTTGCATATCATGCATAGCTACCTGGCATCGCACCCGCATAATCGTCCAGACTTCATGTTTCTTCAATGCAATCTGGACGGCCCCTTGCCTGCCTCAGCAACGCCCAGCAGCTACCACCACAGCCTGCAATGCCTGCGCTGGGCTTGCACGGCACCTTGGTTATGCGCACCGCCCCTCCTTACCAGCACAGAAGCCCTCAGCCTTGCACTGCACAGCCTAAAATCCTGCCTCCTGGCTGCTGCGGCACAACTCGAGCTGCGCAAGGAGCACCGACTGCAACAAGGACATCACAGGGACAGCGCAGCACTCTATAGCCGAGATGATACCATAGCCAGCCTGCGTATACAACGCCAAATACGCACGGCTTTGTGGGAACACTGGCGACCGCAAAGGTCGCAAGCCAGAGGGGGCCAATCACCAGTCCCCGAGCCGCCCTTCTATATACACACCGGCGAGTGCCAGCCCTGCCTCACACAGTCAGATCTGCAAGACCCGCTCCTGGCACGCTTCATTTCACGACACGAAAGACTGCAGCACACTCCGCCTGAATCTCCACGCACAGATATCGACGCCAGCCCTGAACCTCTCAGCGACAATAGCATGCTAGCAGCACTCGCGGACGACCCCGAAGCAGCAGAAGTTGAACGCGCTGCACTGCATCTTCAGCTTGAGTCCAGCTCCGAACTGGAGGGCCCAGCCTCCCCCGTTGCCTCGCTCCCATCCTCTGCTGAAAGCGAAGATGCTGGGGAACTTCAGGGCACTGGAGTTCGCAACGGAGGCTGGGCCTGTACCCACTGCATCACCCCAGCCAGCTGGCAAGCGTATAAGGAGACCCCGCCAGAAGACCGCAGCGTCTTCATCCTCAAAGCAGCCTGTGGTGTGCAACTGCGCCGTTGCGCCTTCCTCACGCCCTTGTCAGCAGCCCCGACCCTTTGCGGCAGAGCCGCCTGCAAAGCCGCGAGATCAACGGCAAATGCCCGGCCCTAAGCCGACTTGCAAGGTCCTAGCACTGCAGTTATGCCACGACCACCCACGAATTCATCCGCAGCCATTTGTACCTGGCTCAATTCCACCAGCCTACACCCTCACGTTTCGCCATGGATGTCGACTCCAAACAAGACTTCAACCAACTCATGCAGGACTCTAACCTGCCCGAGGACCTTTGCACTGCACTGCGCAACTCTGGATACCAAACCATTGCCGACTTTGCCTTCAGCGTGCCGCAACAGCACTATCTAGACGCATGGCTACACGCCCAACCCAAAGAACTTTGGGAAGAGCTGCAAGTCCAAGACATTGCGTACAGCCCTGTTGTTGGCCGCCTACGCCGCTTCCTTGACAGATGCCATACGCACGCCTCCGGCACCGCGCCAGCCCCAGCACGGGGAGAGCCCGGACCATCTGCCAGCACACGCGCCGCTCCCATCGCAGAGAACGTTTGGGCCGAACATGCACCGCCTCGCCTAACACCGGCAGCAGTCCAAAGCATGAAAGATACCTTCACGGCAAACTATCCAGGAGAAATCCTCGATAGCAACGCAATGCCTAGCATACGACTGCTCAGTATCGTGTACCAATGGTTCCGACCAGGCAACGCACCGCAATGGGTGCCATGGCAGCTCCGCATGTCCGAGCGCCAATATCAGGAGCTACTGGTGGCCCGCACGGGCAAGGTCCTTCGCACAGAGGCACAACTTATCAGCGCCGCACTCATTGACGACACACCTGAACTCACCATCGACCCTAACAGGTTAACGCACGGCTGGCTAGCCAAAACCCAGCAGGTGTTCCGAAATGCAATCGCACTGTGCGGCGGAGCGCACCTCGCTGCACTAAAAGAACTCGACAACAAAGTCCTCGACTATGCAACCAATAGCCCCGCACCAGAACTAGGGCTCCGCACTGTCAACATGTCGGAACTGCTTGCTGCAGATCGGAAAATCTGGTCAGAGCTGGCATCCATGTGCCAGCGAGGCTGGTCGCTGGATGACTCCCTGCACGAGCTCACGCACATCCGCAGCGACATCCACACCCTGCTACAGCCCCGCCCGCGCCCGCTTAAGCAACCCAAAGGCAAGGGCAAGGAACTCAAAGGCAAAGGCAAGGGCAAAGGTCCTAAAGGAGTGCGCAATGAGATCCTCAAGCAGCCGCAAGCCGCCACCGCGCACAGCACAGCAGACCTTGTCACCACCAAAGGAGACAAGAAAATCTGCATACGCTTCAACAAGGGAACTTGCAACAACCCCAACTGCAAATTCCTGCACATATGCGGAGTCAAGCTCGCCTCCGGCGAAGCATGCGGCAAAAAACACGCCGCATGGCAACATAAAGACCCCCCCGCACCCTCTACCTGAAACAGTCCGGGGGGCGACAGCCGGGAAAACCCGCCGGACATCTCGCAGCATGTGCCTCCCCCGGCACCAGCACGCGCTCCAGATCCCAGCGCGAGCAAACCGGTGCACACTGCACCGACGCATAACCCTAGCCCCGCACCCCATAAGGTTCCTGCCACCCCCCCTAACAGCACTCCAGACCTTGGTGCGGGCACACCAGTGACCATTGCGCATATGCATAACCCTAACCCTGCACCCACTAGGGTTCCCGCCTGTTACCCTAATAACACAACTGAGAAGCATTGCCCACAGCTTGCGCAGCCTCTCACTTCCTCGCGTTCTCGCGCACCAAGCACCGACAGCACCTATTCCAGCACAAGCCGCTCAAGCGCAGCGCACAGCGCTGCGAATTCCCTCGCGCACAGCCCGATCCACACTCCCCGACTGCTCCTAGACCTTTTCTCAGGGAGCACGGCGCCGCTCTGCAATGCAGCCCAGGCTCTTGGCTTAGACTGCGTCGAACCCATAGACGCCCGCATCAATGCACAGCACAACATCCTTCGGGACGATTTTTTCCGCCTTTTGCAACGCCTATGCTGGTCAGGGTTAATAGGGTTTATATGGTCCGCGCCGCCTTGCGCTGAATTCACACGCCCCAAACTGCTCCCAGGTGGACCCGAACCCTTTCGAACCCCCGAGCACATGGATGGAGTTCCACACCTCAGTCCCGCAGAGCAGCAACGAGTGCGTGACAGCACCGAAATCCACCAACGCAGCAGGGATCTCCTGCGCGCTAGCTTCGCCAAGGGAGCCGAGGGGGGCTTCGAGCAACCCCCAAATGCCATGTCCTGGCTGCAATCAGACAACGTCCATCTCCTCAAAGAGATTGGAGCCACCTGCGCACATGTCGCAGCCTGCGCACATGATTTGGATATGCACAAATCATGGGCTTTCTGCGGGACACGCAAGGAACTAGCGACCCTCAGCAGCACTTGCCCACACGGCGAAGGCGCGCACACGCGCCTCCAACACAAGCGCACGGCATCAGGAAATTTCCTCAGTTCGCAATGCGCAGCATACCCTCCATCCCTGGCCGCCCAGCTGGCGTCCGTGGCATCCCTTTCGGTGACGCGTCAGCTGGGCACCCAAATCAGCATCCAGCAGGCACTCTCGCTGATGCCGTCAGCCTTCTCACCTATCCCTCGACCGCTAGTCTGCGACGGGTCGGGCAACAACAGCACCGCCGACCATTGCTTGCCCAACCAGTCGGCATGCCTCCACCAGCTCAGGGAGGCCTTCCTCGGGTTCATCCAGGACCACGACCTAGCGTCGCGCATCCCCCAGCACCTTCGGGGATCGACAGACAGCCACCCCCTTAGCCAAGACGAGCAACTGCAGCTTGCAGCCATCGCTCACGCGGTCCTTCACCCCAACTGCACGGACGCAAACTGCCTTAGCATCCGCGAGGATCAGCCCTTCCGCTTGCACCTGCTTCAGGCTTTCGCATCATGCACTGCAGACCCCGATGAAAAGCTCATCGACATTCTCATAGAAGGCGTTCCAACGGGCGCTTTCGAGCCTCTCCCTGCAAGTGGCCAGTGGATCGCAAACCAGCTCGGCGCCGCGACGCAGCCCGACGAGCCTTTGCAGCTCCTGCACTGCTCCGGCAATTGGACGCGCGCCGAAAGCAACCCAGAAATCCTGCAAGAGCTCATCGACAAAGAGCTGCAAGGCAATTACATTGCCGAGTTCCGCGGCACAGAAGACGACGCAAAAAAGCAATGGCCAAAAGGCACGGCAATAGGGAAGCTCAACGTTGTTCTGGCTGAAGGTCGTGACCCGCGCATGGTGCTCGACAGCACCATCTGCAATCTTAACCCGCGCTGCACCCTCCCCGAACGCATGCAAATGCCTACAGTCTGCGACGTGCAGCTCACATACGCACCGCACGACCCTCCCGGGTTCTGGCATGGCCTCTCCCTCGACTTCAAAGCAGCGCACAAAGCCTGCGTAGTCAGGGAGGATGAGCGCGGCACACTGCTCTTCAGGCATAAAAATAAGCTATACTACTATAAAGTTTGCCATTTTGGAGCACGCTTCAGCAGCTACTGGTGGCAACGCCTAGGCTCTGTACTGCACCGCATAATGCATCACTTGCTCAGCCACCGACCGCATCGCAGCTTTCTATATGTCGATGACATATTTGCCATGCTTGAAGCCAAGCACAGCACAGAGCTTACATGCCTCGTTATATGCTTTCTAGCAGCGGTCAACGCCCCCATCAGCTGGAGAAAGGCCCAGCTGGGGCATCACATCACGTGGTGTGGCTGGTCCTTCGACCTGCTCACAGACACTGTGCAGCTCGTGCAGACCAAAATCTGCAAGCTCCTGGAGCAGCTCGCATCAATGCGCCGCACACCAAAAGTGCAACGCAAAGCTCTGGAAGCAGCACTAGGACTCCTCACGTGGGCCACCACCATGTCGCCGCAACTGAGACCGTTCCTGGCACCGCTATACAATGACCTGCACAGCGCAAAAGGCACCCTGCACAGCATACCAGCATCGCAATGGATGCATTTCTACCAGGCGCTAGACGATCAAGCGTGTGTACAGCACACGGCAGGGATGTGGCTCCCTAAGCAAGCCAGGCTGCTAGAAGTAGGCAATATCAAAATTGCAAGCAAGGCAGATGTCCCCCGAGTCCCTAAAAGCTCCCAACGCACGTGGGTCCGACTTTCGGACCCGCACAGACACGAAGTGCACCTCAGACGGCAAAGCAGAGACGCACTCCTATGGCTGGAGCAAATTTTCCGTCATAGCAACCGCATCCATCTGCAGCTGCCCGCCATGCTTCAATGCCTTAGCGCAGCCGACGCCATGGCAAAAGGCGACAGAGTGGGTATAGGTGGCTGGATCTGCACCAGCTCGTCTTTCGCATGGTACAGCGAAACCTTCTGCATGAGGGACGTTCGAGCAATCTGGCCTCAGTTGACAGACGACGCACAGATCTACATAGCGTGCTTCGAGGTGCTCGCACAGTTAGCACTGCTGCAACTCGCGTGGCAGCGCATGCGGGGGCACCGCATGCAATTCATTCTGCCTACCGGGTGTGACAACACAGCCGCAGAAAGTGGCATCAACAGACTCTTCAGCACTGCCGAACCGCTGAGCACTTTCTTGCGAATGGTGGCAGACTGGGCGCACCGCCACAATGTTCAGCTGGCGGTCTCCCACCTCGCAGGAGAGAAGAACACCTGGGCAGATGAACTCAGCCGAGATAAACTGCACCGCTTCCGTCACCGCGAGGCGGAAAGGGTGCGCATGCCCCTTGCTTTTCTGGCAGAACACTGCCAAAGCATCTCTCTGCACCCGCCAGATGCGCGCTGGGCTACGCCGCTGCTGGCAGCATCCACATGACATCTAGCACCGCAATGGCACCGCAAGTTGCCTTCACCTGGGAACCTCGCACGCACAGCTCGCATTGCTCAGAGAAAAGAGGGGTCCCAACAGCACTACGCTTCAGCTTTGCTACAGCACTCATACAGCGTTCATGTTTCTTCCGGTACTGACCCGGTGCGGCTTAGGTCCACACTGCGTCGCGGAAGGGGTGAGATGCAGCGTGATCGCAGTGTTGCCCGGAAGGCTAAAGTGGGGGTTTCTTAGCTTCTCTCCGCACTGCATCGCATTCGACTTCCGAGCAACACATGCGAAAAAAGAGTGAGCTACCGCAGGGTTCGAACTCGTAGTTAACTGCACAAGGGATGGAGCCTGAACGTTGCGTGTATAATTGTGGTTTTGGTTTACACGCATGTTTTGAGCCATCTTCTTGTAGCTGATACATTGCACTGCAACTTCAGGCTCCAGGACGTGCAGACGGCAGGAACAGCAAGCATTTGAAATCACCCGCCCTCCTCTCCCTAGTATTTTCTTACAGGACCGCAGTTCCTAGGAGTCTCGCCTGACTCGAGGCCGCAAGACCTCTGCGACCCAACCTTCTCAAACCAGGAGGTCCCGTATGTCTCACCGGGGGTTTCTTAGCTTCTCTCCGCACTGCATCGCATTCGACTTCCGAGCAACACATGCGAAAAAAGAGTGAGCTACCGCAGGGTTCGAACTCGTAGTTAACTGCACAAGGGATGGAGCCTGAACTTTGTGGTTTTTTGGTGTGCTTTGTTGTCTTTTAGACGTTAAGGCGACGGGCGGTGATGCCGTTGTGTGTTACGACCTCTAGGTCCCGGTCGTCCGTGCACCCCTGCGTCCATTCCACTTTCTTCCATTCGCGCATTTGCTGTAGATGCGTCTGGAGCAGTCTGGAAGCTTCGGAACCTCAGACCCAGGTTGCAAACGATGAGTTTTGTTGCTGGATTCACAGGTCGGTCAAGATCCGAGCTCTGATGGTTTTTCGACAGCTCAGGTCATTGCGTGTGCAACGATAGATGAGTTTCATCGGAAAAGTGCAGCTGCAGATCATGTTGTTAATCGACGACGATCAGCTCGCGCATGTAACGGATTTTGTACGCTTGGAAACTTTGAAATTTGATTCATGATGCAAAAATGCTTGGTTCACGCCATGTCGCTTCTTTGGCTTGGCTTGTGCAGCCCGGGTTTTGTATGTTTAGGCACATGTTGGATTTAGCCGATTGTTCCCCTTGCATATAAACATCACCCAGCCATGCAGTGAGTGCACATACTAAAATCGTCAGAAGAATGTTGCGCGTGCGATTGCGATGCTGATGGCGACGGTGTTTGGTCGTGCGCAGGTGTCGCATGGATTGTTTGTTTGGGGTTTGGTTTGTCTATAATACATGCTGCTTGAGAACATTATGCTGTTAAACCCCTTCTCCGTTTTTTTCGGAGAAAGTTGCTGTTCACATTCGTCATGAACGCAATGGCACAAACGGCAAAGGATGGTGAGTACAATGTGCTTGGGCAGGACGTGCCGGGCCAGGTCCTGGGACATGCCAAGGTTGCCGAGACTGCAATTGTCATTGCAATCTTCGCGTGTCATGTGTCAGCAACAGGCGTTTGGCGTGCAAAACTGGACCAATTGAAGAAGAGGAGACTTACCGAGACAGGTTGATTGATGCCACGTGTAGATTGCCAAATTGGTTGCATCAGCGGTCGGCAGGAAGTGCTGTCATTGTTGGAGCTCGAGACACAACCAACAGCTCTTGGCGCAGGCGCAAGATTTGGCACACGAGTTTCGACCAGCTTTTGTACGGTTAAACCCATTTGCTTGCTGCTTGCCAGGTGTGCATGGGGGCTGGGTTGTTGATGGATCCGAGCCCAGCGTTGAATATTGGCAGGATGCACCAGGCGCTGAGTGAGCAAAAACTGAAAAGGTTTTCAGTGACTCCGACCTTGCAAACAGAGGTGCTGAAACCTCAGGCACGTTCTCGCTGCGAAGCTTTTGGGTGCTTCCCAGCATTTTGATTGCAGTTCAGCGATCTTTGCCATCCGATGTTGAAATTAGATGATTCGACAGTGGCAACATCCAAGCAACGATTTTCTGTGCTTCCCTGATTAGCAAGCTGCACAGACAAACCAGGAGACTTGTTTTTCAGGCCTTTATGTATCATCCGATTGTGCAGACTTGCTGCTGGCCCAGGTATCACGCCAGCTGTTGCTACCAAGCTTCTTTACGATGTTGCTTACAGGAGCAGCATGCAGTTCGCACGGGATGATGCAGTAGGGATTGCATTTTTCTTGGCAAGAACATGGTTAGCGTGAAGCTCCAGCCAACATGGCTGAGAACATCCGGTTGTTTGACAGGTTTTTATCGCAGATGTTGAATGAGCTTGCAGGAAGAAGTGGGACAACACTGTCGAGATGCGGGAAGACCCGTCAGATGACGGGGTGCAGACATGCATGTGTTTCAAGCAACAGCATCATGCGGAATCCGCCCCGTCGCATGCCAGGCCTTCAAGCACCATGGCAACGACATTGTGCGCTTCCGGACAAGTTCCAAGACACTTCGGCTGCATGTGGAAGTTTGGGTCGCCTTTCTTGCAAACGGCTGCGCTGCTGCGCTCAAAGCTGGGCTCAGGTTTGGAGCTTTGCCTTCCTGCTACATGTTGCATGGTCGCCTCAAGAAGAGCCCTTGTGGCACTGCCTACTCAGCTTGGGTCTCGCGAGACGTCTGCCACCCAGATGCTGAAAGCTGACAAAGCCCAGCAGCTCATGAACAGTCTCATAAGCATCACTTTATGTGTTTTTTGCCAAGGCAGACGAGGTGTTGGCGGAGAAGCTCGCTGGCCGCATGTGTGACCGGCATCGTGGGTGGAGAGACTGCATACTTGGTACATTGTGTGTGCTGATCTGTTTTTTTTTTCACATGATGCACATCCGGAAAGGTCGCAAGGATTCCGCCTGGAGAGGGTAGTGGTGGGACATGTTGTGCGAAGCCAGGAGGCAGGGGGACCAAACATGCCAATATTTGCTGTGCTGTGCCCTGCTGTGCTTGTGCGCAAGGATGGCTGCCGTATCTTTACCTATGTTCAGATGGAGGCTTGATGCGTGTCTTCTTGGGTTTTTTTGTGCAGATCATGCAACCATTGAAGGCAACACCTGTCCTGAAAGCGTTGGGGCCAGAGCTTGCTCCAGGACTTCTTCGAGGTCGACCCCCCAGTTTTTGCCGGTCAGGTTTTTCTTGGGCGAACTGCTGACACGTTCAAAGTCTGCGCAAAGCCGAGGATGGTGCAGCAAATTTTCCCGAGCCTGCCGGGCAGAACTTGCAGAGGAGTGTTTCAGCTTGGCATCGGAATGTTTGGTGGTCATGTTCAGCGCCAGAAGATATAAGTTCCAGCCGAGATCGCAGGAAGCATGCGCCAAGGAAGTCATGAAGAAACCAGGTGCGGTGGAATCGGTACAGTCTATCAGTCTAAAAATCAAAAGAGCCTATAAGTCTCAGCTGACCAACTCTGGCACTCCGCACTCAGCGAGGTCAATCGGATGATCGCCATGTTCCTGAGTTTTTCGACTCCCTGGCTGGTCTTGGCGTTGCTCCTATATATATATGTGTATGTATATGTATATATGTATATATATATATATGTATATATACACACATACGCAACAGTACACGTGTATGTCGATGTCTATGCCCATACCTGTATCTGTGTCTGTATCTGTATCTGTATCTGTACCGTTAACTCCATCTATGTAGGACGCCTGGAAGAGTTGGAATCACCGCTTGCCAGGACATGTCAGCTGGGGATGAGACAGGCATTGAATCTGCTTTTCTTCACACCATGTATGCCTTGAACCCGGAAGCAGCACTCTGCTGTTGTCAAGATTGACTTCGTTGTTCAGGCTCCCTGGCAAACTCCGAACCCGTTCCTGAGGCACCCGCATGTCAATGTAGAGGTGCAAAAAGGTATTTCGTTTGGACTTACTCCTAGAGTTTGGTTTGAGATTATTGAGATGCTTGTGTGTGCGCGGGGCAGGCCACTTCCCACTCTGCAGGGCTGGACTTTCTGGGCGTCGTCGACAACAAGAAGCTGGTGCCCAACAGATGACTTCCCCACGCAGACCAGTCGTTTTTGGTTAGAGTTCCGGCAAAAGGCATCAGAGCTCTGGTGAAAGACGTAGGTAGCCCAGCGATCAGCCAGATTCCTCACCAACCTTATTCCATCTCATGCTGTCAGGAGATACCCAGTATATCATCAGAATATGCTACAGGCACGGAAATCAGCATCATCACTCAGAGCTCTCAGGGTCCAAAACAAGCCTCCAGTCCGGACGTTCGTAACATAGCATTTGCCAGACCATACCTTGGAACACATGCGAGTGAGGTGCCAGCTGTCTCGGCTTTCAGACGCCTGCTGAGGAAGCGGGGCACGTAGTCATGCGGAGAAGGGTTAAGCCGCTAAAGAGGACGAGGGGGTCGGGACGTGGTTTCTTATCGCAGGTCGGCAAAGAGTGCAGCCCGGAGGCCTGAGGCAGCGGCCTTGGAATCCTGAGTTGCCTTGGTTAACGAGGGCTCATGAGTGGCTCATGGGACATTTTTGCTCCGCTTTGAGGCCGGCGGTGCGCCAGGAGGCCCCTGGAGCATTTGGGTCTCGGGATGCTCTCGAAGAGACTGATCCTTGCCAGGTGGCTCTTTCATGGAGCTGCCTGAGGAGCCTTCCGAAAGCGGCAGGTAGGATGATTTGGAATTTCGTGGGCAAAGCAATGTTGACAAGGATGGAACGTTCGTGATTCTCCCATCCACCTTTGGCGCCCCTGGCCCCTTGACAAGCTTTGAAGAACAGTGGCCCTGAAAGGCGAAGGCGCTCCAGCGCACTTCGGGTCGGAAGCCCAGCATGCTAATCAGCATGCCATTCGCGTCCAGGCGCAGGGGCCTTCCAGGGGGCTGGAACCTAAACACTACTTAAGAAAAGGGTGGAGACTGTGGCTTTCGGGTCTAGGGTTCGGAGCTTGGTTTGTAAGAGCAGGGGTCTTAGGGCTTCGGGCGTTTTTGGGTTTAGGCGCTTTTAGGTTTGGTGTTTAGGGATGTAGGGCTTTTTCGAGTTGTAGGGTTGGGATTTGTTTGTCTCGGTGGAGCTGAGGAGAGGAATCGTGAACGCCAAAGAGGCTCTATGGCCGCAATCTGAGACTCGCTTACGCATCCCCCAATTCTCTTGCAGCTTGCAACTCCCACCCAGCGCCGTTCGAGGAAGCTGTGGCGGAGCGACTGGGGCAAGCTGTGCGGCTGAGGAGCAGGGGATGGGATTGAATCGACAGCTCTTGGCAGCCCTTGGCAGCCTTCCAGAACTCAGTAGTTTTGCACATTTTTGCACATGCCAGGAGCCAACACGGCCGCGACTCCGGGCTAGAGGCAAGGGCGGCTAAAGCTGAGGTTCTAATTTAACACACCCTGGAATGCTGCTGGAAGAGGCTGCTCCCCGCTTGTGAAGGGCCGTTTGTCGGCAGCAGTGCTGTTTCTGAGCAGGTCGTCTTGGAAGAGGAGGACGATGGAAGCAAGGCAACTTTACATTGTCTTCTCATCCTTCCAACTACCGCCTTTGCCCATTTTTGTCCTTCTCTTGGCATGCCGGCAGGCGAAGTGTCCTCCCAGTGAGGCTGAGAAGCAGGCCCATCTCAACAAGCTTCTCTCTTCTTCCTTCCCTCCGAATGCTTCTGTCCTGCAGCTCCACGCAGCGAACCCTGGCAAGCCAAGCGATGTCACCGCCTCCCGTGACAGCGCCGTGGAGAGCCCGGTGTGCCGTCGCGAACGCATTGAGTAGGTGGATTCTTTTTTGTCAGCTCATGTTCACTCAGATTTGCCTACCTCCTCATGCTGCTATAGCGCTACGGCTATCTTTTCGTGGTGTTGTGTGGCGTTGAGGTTCGTATTGACAGCTCGGCTTCATCAGCACAGCCGCGAAAGCGGTTTTCTTTGCCACTGCCTGTGCGGAGAAGGCGATCGGCTTGGAAGACTGAAATCTGTTCCTTTTGGTCTTCAGCTCTGCTATGCTCTGCTGTCAGACTTGCGTCAAAACCTGAGGAGGTCTTCCGGCAGCGTTTCCGGCAGCGTGCGCTCGGCTGGAACTACGGACTCAGAGGTCTGCAGAGCGGTTTCAAGTGTAAAGTTGTACCGAATGGTCGAGCCTACATTCGGATACCCGCTTGCTCTGCACATCTCTGCGCAATGTCTCTCAGGACAGCATGTCTTCAGCCGGCATTGCTGGAGTTCCCAACGACGAGGACATGACCCGTCGCATGGGGCCGAAGTGCAATGCGGAGTGCAATGCGAAGTGTGGTCTGGCTCGTGCGGAGTGCTGGAACTTGCTGGGCCAGTACTTCTGAGGCAGCGCCGATGCTGCAGTTGCCCTACACTACAGCTGCGATGGCCAGTGGACCCGCAGTCTGTACATCCAAAGAGCAAAAATGAGGTTCTGGACTCGTTCTTCGACAGGGCGCGTGCGCCATTTTGTCGGGAAGGTAGAGACTGGGATCTGTGGTCGTGGTACTGTACCATGATCAAAAGCCCCAAAAGAGAAGACACAAAAATTAGCACATGCCCCGAGAGAGTTAAAACCGTCTCTACCTGGGCTGGAGGCTCCTCCGCGCTCTCCACGACCACGGCCTCGTCGGTTTCTTCCCGTCCCTCCAGTCCGTGCTTGGGCTCTCCAGCGGCTTCTTTGCCAGGTGGAACGATGTCAAGTTGAGTCATGTTGGCTCTCCTCTTTCCTTCTCCGTTTTGGAGAGGTGATGATGGTGAGTCCAACAAGGCCAGGGAGGGATGTTGCCAGGGACACGGTGCCCTTCGCAGCGCTTCACGGCGCTTCACGTCGCCTTGGCTAGAAGACACTGGCGACGAAATGCTTGAAATGCTTGAAATGCTTGAACAGGGCACATTTTGAGATTCGGCGGCAGGTTGCAAAGCCAACCTTGGCAGGTGCCGCATGGGTCGCAGCCTTGATGCCGCGTGTTGCGTGGGGAATGTATCGCCAGCACACCAAGCTGGATACGCAACGGTGCTCACATTCAGCAAGGTATGCCCTGAAGCGTGCTTCCCTGCTTCCGTGGTTTCAAGCAGGGAGTTGCCTGACTTGTGTTCTCAAAGGTCTTGACCCAACTCTGCAAGGAGACGACGCACGTGCCGGACCGTGATATCAGTCTTGGAACATGACCCCAAGAGCCCACTGACATGACTCCGTGAGTGGCAATGCGCATGCGAGATGGTGATTAGGATGCCGCTCTGCCATCCGAGCCTTCGAGCGTTTCTTCCAACAACCAGGCAACACCTGCCCATGCGGGCAAAAATATGGCAAATATGGTAAACGGTCGGCAAATGTGGGCAGATGTGGGCAAATTTTGGCAAATTGTATCCTGTTCCACGATGGGCAAGGTTGCCTCATGCTTTCTGAACGGACAGGTGGCGACGAGACTGCACAGAGGATCGTTAATGTCTGCAGAGGTCCGGATCTCCGAACCTCGCTAAGTGAGCGGCATAAATGAGATGTTGCTGTCACTGTCACGTTGGCCACCTGCGAGAGGCCTTCAAGTTCTGCTTCCCCCAGGACTGGGACTCAGACGGTGGGTTTGCAGTGTTTGTTCATCTGCTTTCTGATATGTTTGTGCTTTATGTTCGTGCGCCTTCTGCGCCCAGGACATTTGCGGTGTCCCGCTGGAGTCGAAGGCGGCTTTCAAGGTGCTGCCTGCTCAAGTTGGCCTTATGAAGTCCAGTGGAGAAGTCAAGCCAGGATCCTGGATGGAAGCGCTCCTCCAATCGAAATCGCCGAAGAGCCACTGCTGCTTGAGGCAGCAGTAGCTAAGTTTCGGACCCCTTGGACCACTTTTCAATTTATGCAGAAGCCCTGCAACCCGATGGTCAATACAGAGGGCCGCCCCTTCACATGCGTTGGGAAAGATTAGGAATGTCAACAGACGTCACGTGAAAGGCGATGGCCCTCTGTCCGGCAATGTACCAGCAGAAGAGAGAGGTTTGCAAGGAATGACATGCTGCAAGTGGCCATCAGTGATGTACATCGGCCGTCCTTGCAAACTTCTCGGTTCAGGTAATGCACAGTGCATAGCGCAGCGTGGAGTCCTGCATGGGTGTTGCTTGTTGCCTAGAGGGGCATTGTCAGATAGCTTCGGGAACGACAGCTAGCACAGGGCTGCGCTCCACAACGCACTGCGGCAAGCGAGCGGACGGCAGAAAGCCAGGGGGCTGCCGGCTGCATTCGAGCCGTGCGATATAGAGTGAGGCAGAGCAGGAACACAAGGTAACAAGCATAGCAACAGAGCATGAGAGGGACATCGGGATATCACGCCGTCGGGAAAGTCCCAACGACGGCGGGGCAGCCCCCTCCCCTTTCAGTGTCAGCTGCTCTTAGAGGTCGCTCTGGTGCGTGGCATGGAACGGATCCGTGCCCATTGCAAGCATTCGCAGCGTTTGCAACTTCTCAGGACTCATTGTGAACTCATTTCTCATGATAGCTACCTTTTTGAATTGCACGTTGGTGATGAGATCATGGGACTGGGAAGGGGTCACGATCACAGATAATCTACCCGAGAAGTGCGCAGATCTGAAATCATGCAAGAGCAAGGTATAGCAAGGTACTCAGTGGCCAACTCAGTGTCAACTCGAAGCTGGCGAGGTCTGCACATTTCTCTGCACCGCCGTCTCACCTCGAAGCTCGAAGTGATATTTTTTTATGCACTCCTGCGGTGGGACATGAGAAACAAAAGGCCCCCTTGAGAGAGTTGGTCTGCAGCCGACGGGCTGGTTGGTTCGTGGCTCATATGTGGGGTTCCTTGGTTCCTGGAACGTGTGCGGGTTCCTTGGTTCCTTACGTGGATTCCTTTGTAGACTTTGGCTCCCAGTAGGGCGAGAACGGGGCCAAATCGGCACAGATGCAGATGTCGCGCCGGCAACTTTCGCAGCCCAGCTCAGCAGGTGCAGTACTCATCTGAGTGTGTCTCCTACGCCAGGTGGGAGGAGCGGACCGCACGTGCCCATGCTGGTCCCAGGATGATGCCTCAGCCCTTCTGGAGAACAAGCTGCGACGTGCAGTGTGGCTGTTGCAAGGTCTACTCTGAGCCCTGCTGTGCTTCCAGCCGTGGCTCGCAGGAGCGGCCCCACAAAAATAGCGGGACAGGGTTCTGCCTCTGCGTTGTGACACGAGGCTGAACCAAGGTGCATCATGGCGCTTTTGCTACCGTTGCTCAGACTTGATCAGGCGGACAGCAGCTGCTTTCCTTCTCCTTGATTCTCCGGGAGATGAGGCCCTTATGGTTCTTATTTGCCATCATTTGCCCTTGCTGTAGCTGCATCGAGTTCTAGTTCATCTGCGGCTCTGGCCTTAGCTCGCTACAAATGGACTACTGGTATTTTGACATGAATATATACATAATCATAATACAGTGAATACGTCTGGCAGGACTTGCTGGCTCAATGCCTTCAAGGACCTTTGCAGCGTCGACGGTGCCTGTTGAGTTAGATCCAGAGTGATCTGAGCGAAGGAAGTGATTCCCACACGGTTCCCGGGCACAAGCACCGAACAGACACAAGCTTCAGCGGTCATAGCCCAAGCTGTTGTGGCAGATCGTTGCGAACCGAGAACCCTAAAGCCTATGTAAAGCCTAAAGCCTAAAGACTAAAGCCTCAAGCCCAAAGCTCTCAATCCCGTTTTTCTGAATCCCCAACTCCCAACCCGCCCTCTTCGGATTCTGTGCGAGCACTTCCTGGAAGGTCACGCCAGCCACTCTGATGAAGCAAAGGCGGCGAATTCTTTTTCAGGGATCCGGCAAAGACTTGCTTGCGTGTTGCATTGGACGCAGGCAGTTGCTGGAGATCTGAACCAGTTTCTCCATGACCCATCAAAGATCGCAGATGCTTCTGCCGCAGCCTTATATAGCGGAGCTTCCTGGTCCTGGCACAATAGCTTCGCACAGGGCATAGGGTCTTTCATGTTATCCACCAAGGCATGGGCCAAGCTAATGACTGACGCGACTTGGCATAGCTACTAAGAAAGACCTAGCCTGCGTGCTCAGCTTGCCTTGCTTTGGCAGACTGAGCAGCTGTTGCAACTGCCTTTTGAGAATGCTTGCCTCAGCGATCACTGCATCTGCTGCTTGCTGCATGTTTGCTGTCTGGAGCAAGAGTTCCTGGGTCAGAGTATTGGGATTCAGTTCCTTTTCAGGCGGTTTGGGTTCCGAAGATCCCAGGTGGCTGTAGTGGCAAACTTCGGTGTGCCTCTGCGGCAATCGGCTGCGGTGATAGCGTCTTAGTGTGTAACTGCAGGAGTCTCCGTACCTTGTCTTTTCAAGCCAATGCGAGGCGCTGATTCTCACGTTCCTAGGGGCTGCGTACCACGCCTACGGCTATGTCCAGCTACGGAATGCTCAGAAACAGGCTGACTCTGTTCGGAGATGCCGCCTGTCCTGCGTCGCGTGGCAAGTAGCGCCTTCAGGCGTCCCGCTCACACGGCGGCGGTGGAGGGGGGCATCACTGAGTGTGAGGACAGCCAGAGTCTTTCTGCGGCCTTTTGTGCTGACGCATTTGGTGCATTTAGCAGACCTTCCTTGGAACCCTTGAAGGCTCCACGAGAATACGAGCCCAGAGTGAACTGCTAACTGCAATGGTGGACTGGTGACTTGCTGGTGCAGAAAAGGAAGCAATTAAGGTGCTCTTAGGCGTTCTTGGGGGGCCCTTGGCTGCCCTAGAGCCTACAGGGAGACTCTAGGGAGCCAAAGATAGCAAACGGAGGAGTCTGTGCAGGTTGAAAGGTGACTCTGCATGGCTGCAGTGACCGGATCAGTGCCTCCATGTTGGTACAAAACAGTTTTTTCTGGGCTTTCCAAAACAAGTTTTCTCATGTTTTTCTCCCCGTCCTTTCTGCGAGCTTTCTCTGTAAACGAGCACCAGCTACGTCAGGCAGCAAGCTTTGATGCGGCTGAGCAAGGCCTGTCGCCCTTGTGTAGGCTAAGCTTTTACTTACGTAAGGGATCATGCTGGGGAAGTATCCGCCACAATGTGTTACACAATGTGAAAAACATTCACTATACTCATTTCAGTTGCTGTTGTAGACATCAGAACGTCTGCGGGCCACACCAAAGGATTGTCAAGGTGAGTGTCAAGGTGAGTGTCAAGGTGAGTGTCAAGGTGAGTGTCAAGGTGCAGGAAGAGTCGAAGCCGAACTTGCCTGCCGCTTGCAGCTCCTGTTGAGGTTCAGCTGAAAGTCATGAAACGATCAGTCTGGAGCTATCTTGAGCTGCTAAAGTCTCGTCGCTGGCGGCAATGAAACAAGTCAAAGTTTCGACCGGGGTGGCCCGCGATTTCTGAGTGTCGTCAGATTTGGAAGCTATCTCCCCAGCCCCACTCAGCTTTAGTTTCAGAGCCTAACAGAACGCGGAAGACGGTATAAACTCTCCTAAACGACACCGGTATGTCATGCCTGCAACATGGCGGCGCCCGTGCCGGATCCGCATGCCACTGATTTGTCGGCGCTGGGAGCTCAGCTGTGGCCAACCGAGGGCTTTTCAAGCTAAGGAGAGATCCTTCTGCGTGTTCGACAGTGTGTAAAATGCGAGACACGAGGTTCCATGGCTACGTTGACTTCGAACGCTGGGAGAATGGCAGCTTCACGAAGGCCGCTTGGAGAGCTTAGCTTTGGCTTTAAAAGGGCGCTGCGGTCGAAGGGCGAGTGTGGGGGCGAGGTCAGGGGCCTCGCCGACGCGATCCACGGGAAAGTTATCCGCTACAAATGGAGGAACCCTCACCAGGAGCGGTAGACTTGACATGTCTTGGCACAGAAGTCCGTGACATTTCACATGCCACGAGTACATGTTCGAATAGACAGCACATCTCAGCCTGGGAGAAGGACGCAGATATAGATGTCGTTGGGAAGAAAATGAAAAGTGCCGACCCCAGAGTCGACTTTGGTCTTTGCAGGCATTGTGACCGGTGCATCTGTGTCTCGAGGCGAAAGCGCCGGCGCCTCGAACCGTAGCGAACGAGTAGAGATTTGAGCAAATGGAGCCCTTCAGCAGAGATGTTCAGAGTTCCAGGTGCGGCTGAATGAGGGTCGTCTCACAAACGCGTGGAACCTCAGAACACCTCAGACCCCGCATGGCTCAGATGATTCTGGAGATTTCGGGAGCACAACATAACGTGTGGAGGAGAAAGAAGCCCACGCGATTCCGCTGTCGGATCCAAGATGCCCTCATCCGGAGGACAGGGGATGACATTGGGCTGCTGGTCTAGATCATGGGGCATCAGCAAGCCGACACGTTTTCTAAACCCAGGATGCACTGACCGAAATCGGCGTGCTCTCGTACCTGAGGCCGGGGTGTTCGCGCGCAGCTGGTAAGCCTAGTGAGTATGGTCGAATGGAACACTCAATTGCCTTCAGTGTCAACTGGCAAAGGCAGCAGCCCCACGTGCCAGTTTACTTGCCCAGGGCCTCAGTGCCGTGTGGAGCCATGGCAGAACTTATGGCCAGACGGCCTCCCTTGCTGTTTTGGTTTCTTTGCTGTTTTGAGCCGAGGCTTAGAATGCTGGGAGCTTTCCGTGACGGCCGCCCCTGCACTTTGGGGGTGGGCGTGATGCTCGATGCATTTGGCATCCTATTGATGCAAAGCCGTGGCTCCCGGTCGCCAGATACCCATACGTTCCTGGTCACAGAGTTTGTCTCAGATGGTGAGCTCTTCAACCATGTGCGAGCTTCAGCACTTCAGCACGAGTACATTCCCGGAATGTCGAGATCGGACGTTTGAGCCTTCCTCGCCTTGACTGTTTCCCAGACATTCCAAGACTGAGTAGTTGTCTGCTGCCTGCGCAAGACGTCCGAGTAAAGGTCCTAAGAACTTGTGCGATCCAAGTCGGAGAGAGGTTGAGAGAGCACGCAGAAGTTAAAGCAAACAGCAATGACCATCAAGTCTTGAGATCGTGACACATGTCTAGGTGGCGAATGGCCGTATGGGTGCTGATGAAGGAGTGGTGAGAGGTCTTATGTGTCCGCCTCTGCCACCGGCACTGTTGGATGTTGTCAGCTCTCATGTCCTGCAGAGATCAGGTGGCAGCTGTTGCAGGGGACCAGGTTTCTCCACGCACATGACATAGGCTGGATTGCTGGAGGGGCTTCGGGAGCTTTGTTTGCCAGCCTCCTCGAGACAAAAGCAAAGTGCCAGGTCACAGGGACATCTCCTTAGAGAATGTCCTCATATCGTTTGACAGGACAGGGCGCCTGCAGTCTCATTGCTGCCAAGATCTTGAACTATGTCACTATTTGATGCTATGATGGCGCTTTGAAGGGACCGGCACCACCTTCGACTGATGGATTTCGGCCAAGCAGTTCTGGTCTTAGCCATTGCGCAGAAAGCAACCAAGATCGGCGTAGCATTCAAGATCCAGGCCCCCAAAGCCCAAAGCGATGCTCTATCATGCTTCCATGCAAGCCCCGAACGACCCTACCCGCAACTCTTGGCTACGCAAATTCTGCAGATGCGATTTCAGTGGAGGTTGGTCACTTTTTTGCTTCTCTTTGTTTCTTGCAGCTTGGTCTCATCTTCCTGACGGGTCTCTTTCGCAGTGAGGTGAGAACCCGCTCAAGCTGCGGGCAGGTGTATCTCAGGTCGGCGGTGGAGCTGTGCCAAGACTTGTAAACTTGTAAGCACGCGCACGTAGTAACTTTGCAGACTTGTGCTTAACACATTAAACTATTGGGACATGGAGCACAGCAGCCTTCGGCCTTCGGCCATTCTGCCCGAACACGACATGTCCGAAATGAACATCTCCCCGACTGTAAATGGCCACCAGAAGCTCGTTTAGCATGGGGAAAAGAGCCTGTGATTTTGAAAGTTAACTACTCCAAAAAGTTCCAGAGAAGTACAAACTCAGTTCCAGATCCACCTCCTGTGCAGGTACTTCCGACCGGCCGGCAAGCCGTATTATAGGGGCCTGACCCTTAAGCACCCTGAAGCACAAGCCCACAGCCCCCTTCGCTGCTGCGAGATGGTCCTGAGGCCCAGAGTGCTATGTTCCCGGCGACAGACCCCAGGCATGGCTCAGAAGCAGCAAGGGAGGGAACCGCTTGTGGTGATTGTCTCCTTCCAAGGTACTTGTTTGCTGTCCTCCACATGCTCATGGACTGGATGCCACTTGTCCCAGTGTAGGGCTGTATCTGAAGCTTCCAACGTTTAGTTGCAGGCTTCAGGCTTCTGGCAACGCCCAATTTTGGCTCAGGTTGTTTTCGTCGACAACCTCAATCGGAATGGGACACCAAATGGCTACCGAAATGAGGCGCCGTTGAATGGAGGGGAAGAAGGGGAAGGGACATGAAGGGACCATGTAGAAGTTTGGGCAGAAAGTGCAGGTGAGGCTGCCACCGCACGCAACCCCTGGGCAGCCCGTGGCACAGATGTGTAATTTGTGTACGGTGACGGTGTGAGACCATAGGTCATGCACTTACGGCTTGCAAGGACCTGCCTCGCTGAATTTTGGGGCTACGAGGCAGATGTGAATTCCAAGAACTTTCCCCAAGAGCTTTGGCGGAGTTCTTTTTTGGCCCAGGTACCACCGCTGGATGTTTTTGCCCTCGGCGTTTGCTTTTTCATCCTTGCTTGGCGAGTGCCACCTTGGGGCCCCTGCCTGAATTGGCTCCAGTGCTTTGGTTGCGCCGACTGCGCATGTCATCTCGTATGTGTCAGGTCGAGCCCTACCACTCGACGCCAATTTCACATATATTCAGCAGCGTCGGGGTCCCAGTGCACCTCGAGGATCTGCGGAGCGTGTCGCCGTGTCGCACAAAGCTCAACCGAGATGGAATTCCCCCACTTCTGAACGCCTGGCAGAAGAGACACCTCTCGCCAGAGGCGGGAAGAGTGGTGCAACCTCAGTCAAAGAACTCAGCGAAGTGACTGGTGAAGAGATCTTCGCATGCCCCGCCAAGAGGCGATGAACCTTCTTACGGAGATGGCTCGGATCTCGGTCCTTCCATTTCTTCCATTTCTCTGCCATTCCATGCCACTCTCCGCGCGTGCATGCGACCTGTTCCATGAGGTTTCTGCAGACCCGCGCCGGAGGCCGTCAGTGCAGGCTTGTCTAGAATCTGCGTGGCAGCACCCCCAGTGTCCTGCTTTGGGTGCTGGGAAAGGAGCGTGCTGCAATGCTGAACATGGTTCTGCTCATTGCAGCTCTTTAAGGTTAGTCCCACTGAAAGACGATCCAGTCCAGCCCTTACAGTGCCGTCGGAGCGACGCTTGCAGCAGCTCAGCGCATGATCAGCTGGTGCACTGGTGCTCTCTCCTGCAGCTTTCGCGCACGGTTGTGCCGGCGTGGCAGTTGTGGAGTGGGAAACCACATGAAACATCCACTGCCACTAAGAAACCCATGAGTCCCCGAGAGCTCGAGGTGCCCACGCAACCTGCAGCGGCCATGGAGCCCGGAGGCCGCGAGAGCAATCGTCTTGATTATGGATGCATTGAATGCAACATAAAGTTCAGCCAAGATGCTTCATCAACTGTCCCTGCGGACGACATTGACATGGAGAGCGAAATGGCTCGAATGAACTTGGGCGCATCCTGCCTTGAAGCAGAAGTACATCGGGCAGAAGAGGATGTGAGCAGTTGGTAGTGTTGCCCGTGCGCCGATCCCGAGATCCTCCCACCACATTCTTGTTGTCTGTCGAAATGTCGAGGAAGTTTGTTTTCGGAGCAGGTGGGGCAGGTGCTGCATTTCGTTTTGTGGAACCTCATCGAACGCCCCTGCAAGACGGTTTTCAACAAGATATCCGGCCTGTCAACGCATGCGCCCGCTAGGAGGGGACGGGGTGGGGAAGTGCTTTCCTGCAAGCCCCGTCAGCCCTGATGAGCCAAGGCACCACAAGCGTGATGCCGAGGAGGAAGGCCAGACGCCTTCTAGATGCTCCCATCGCTTCCATAGGAGTTCCGCAGCCTTGGTATCTGTAGGTGCCGATGGCTTCAGACGCTTTGGTGAGCCTCGACTACAACTTTCAAGTTTCTGAGAGGGGAATGCCCTAATTTGTGTTCCCGTTCTTCCATGTTCTTTAAGGTGGCTCGTGGCTTGGAAGAAGCTTCTCTGAGATGATCTCGAACCCATTCTGTGGTCCACTGAAAGTGATGCCTTGTATGACTCACTTTCTGTGGATCTTGCAGCGCAAGGCGGGTCTCTCGGGATGTGATTTGGGTAGTGCAGGAGTTGACTTTAAGCTCAAGCTTTCAAGGTCACGGTATGTTACGGTCAAGTTTGGAGCAGAAAGCCTGCGAGCGCCTTTGTTACGAGCCACGGCAAGTCGTTCCAGCAGTTAATGCGGAATCATCCCAAGCCTCAGAGTGACGGCTGCACCTTGAGCTGAAAGCGGAAGCTCCGCTGCCTACATGATTCTACACAACCATGCTGACAACTGCTGCTCATGCTTTCCGTCTTGTAGGACCTCAGTAACTTCATGCAGCCCACACTTTCCAGTACATCACCCGATCTTTGTCTTGATTGTGTTGTAGCATGCTGCACCATACTGTCTCATCCTCCGGTATTGCATGGCACCTTGGTATGCATGTGCAAAGCTGGGTACGTGACGGTGACGGGCGACGTCTGCAGGCTAGGCTCTTTAACAGCCGGCACTCTGGGAGGTGTCTCTTTTTAAAGGCGTCTATACGAGCTGTTCCTCCATGCACATATTACTCGTGGTTGTTAAAGACACATTTCACACCTCGTGTTTTACACGGGCTTTGCATCTTTTCGCAGGACTAGCAAGGAGGTGCGGCTTTTTCCTGCTTGATGTTAGTTGCCCTGGCATCACCTAGAACTAAATTTCGGCGGCACCGCACAAACTACGTGGGCTTGAGATGCCGTGAAAATGATAGGACATCATTCTTGGACTAGAGGCGATGCTGCAGGACAGTTTCATGGCCGGGGCAGTGTCACCTCATAGCATGACCGCAGGCCCTCTCGGTCTCTGAGGTTCAGAGACACCGAGAGAGGCTTCCTTTATCCAAATTTTGCCACCCTCGTGCTGCTGAGAGGGACGGAACGATGCACAGGAGAGACGTGAAGAGAGGGTTAGAGAGAGGTTAGACAGTGGCGGGAAGGCTTTGGACGGCTGAGAGCAACATGTGGCATTCGCAGCGATTTGTCGAAGTCAGCCTTGCGTAGATGTTCAAATGCACTGTTGCTGGGCAGACCTCCAAGGCGAAGCCCGAGAGCTACATGGGATTCCTCAGAGAGAGACTTCCATGTGGGTCAGTCTGGAGAAACCAGGCGGAGCATCCGAGCATCCCATCCGCTGGACAAAAGGAGCAGCACGTGTTTGACTAGTTGGACTAGTTGACGCAGTCTTGGCCAAGGTAGCTTTCTAGTCGTCAGAGGCACGTGAGGAGGGAATAGGAAGGCATGATTTTCTCAACTGGTCAGGACAGGTCCCAGGTCCCGGAGTACATGCATTCCTGTCATCAGCACATTCGGATGTGTTTACTTGCACGGAAAGTGCTCACGGAATTTGTAGAGTACTTCTGGAGCGCCCTCCTCGTCTCCGACCGAACTTCCGGGCACATGTCCTTCCACGGGCTTCTATTAGCTTCAATTTGCCTTTTTTTGTGTCACAGTTTAGGTGCCTGCAGTTTGCAGGCATCTCGTGGCCCGCAAAGCCCCCAGCCGTGAGAGCACTGCAGCTGTAAGGCGCTCAAGGACCCCCCCTGACCCCCCTGGCCCCCCCAATTGCACGTTCGAGGAGACTGCTGCAGGGTTGATGAACTCCTTCGCTCTTGCCTGTGCATGCGCATGCAGCCTTGCTGCGCTTCTGTCACTTGGGCTCCGCGTGTTCAAGTTTGGCAAGTATTTGCGGTTCGACTCTGCCCGCGCCACTTTCTGGGAAGATCTGAGACCTGCGCTCAACATGCCAGACGCGGTGAATTCGCTGCCTGATCGAGCCACTATAGCCACTCCATCCGGACATCCGAACAAGAAGGGCAAGAAGGGCAAGATGCCCACAGGGAGGCTGCCAGGCGCGAGAGTCAAAGATGCAGAGTACGACAAGGATGTGGGCCAGATTAGCAGAATAAACAAAGTGATCTTCGTCCATGTGCCCAAGACTGGTGGGAGCACCATCGAGCAGTCGAAGTTGTTCTACGATGCTAAGAAGCATCATCCTGTCGGTGGTCACACTCATGCTGAAAAAATGCTGCCTGACGAATAGAGTGCTCTTCATGTGTCAGCATGTGTGCTACAAACATCTACAAACAGATTGTGGTTCTGATCCGAAGTCACCAATTCTCGAGGCGGAACCTGGCGCCCGGCTTTCGCAGCTTTTCCATGGTTCGACATCCTTGCGAGCGGTTCATCTCTGCATTTACCTACACTCTCACGCGAGCCCCAGAGCCCGAGCTAGCCTGGCATCACAAGAGCCCCGGATCAAGCTATGAGCTTAAGGTAGGGTTTTCGAAGATTCTGCAGGCTTTGCAGTCGCAGCTTAGGAATATCGGCAGCAGGAATGTGACCGCCTATGTGGCTTCGAGTGACTTCGGTGGCGCCAAAGCTGCAAGCGAGGCCACTTTCGGCCGGGTTCTGAGGAATAAACTATTTGTAGCCCAGCTTGTAGCCCTGCTTGTAGCCCTTTTCCAATGCCAGCCAACGTTCATCTGAGGTGATGTGTTTTGGAAATTTTTGCATTTCCGGCCACAGCACTCGTTTCTCTTTTTTCACAACGGGACTTTCGGCGTGGATCTCCTGATGTGCCAAGACAACTGGACAAAGAGCATGCAGAGATTGCGGGAATACATGAAGCCCACCGTGATCCTTCCGTTTCACAAGCGCGCACGAAGCACGACGCATTCCAAATGCTCTGACCTTCCAAAGGAGACGCGTCAGAGAATCGAGAGAGCTTACGCAATGGACATGTGCCTGTTTTATCCCACTGACGCTCCAACGGCGTGCAGTGGTGTGTCTGCGAACGAAATGACTGCACGCTACCAGACGTGCAAGTCTCGGGTATCGGGACAAAAAGGCGTTGAGCCGCAGACGTGCCCAGGGCCACCCAGGGGCTGTTGGTAGGAAGCCCGCTGTCGGGCAGCCGATCCATGAAGTTCTTCAAGTGCCTAGCTGCTAAGAGTGTGTGGCCGAAGACCCTGGGAGCTGTCAGATGCACCAGCTCAATCTCATCTGTTGAAGGGCGAATACTGAGATTCTGGCAGGTCTGTCATGTAGAGTGGAGGATAAGTAGCCGCGATGCCACTTGCCGTCCCTTCCACCACGCCTCCGATCGAGGCTGCAAATCAGAAACAAAAACGCTTGCATATCGACAACCATCCGAATTTCACTGCAAATGCTTTACCAAAAGAACCAGTGGCGATCTACTCTGTGTGTGTGTGTGTGTCTGTATTGTAAGGCCTCTTTGAGGGTCACAGCGGAGAGGGAAAGGGAGAGGGACGCTGCACCATCGGGTTACATGAGAACGAGCGGTGCTGCAGACTTTCAAGGGGGATCTCCCTTAGCACCTCCCCCGTGGTGGTGGCGGGTTCTCAGTGCTTTGCTAGTCGACGCAATAGCCTCTCACCCGATAAGTCGGCCCACCTGCGCAAACCGATGAAGTTGAGATCAACGCAGAAGGAGAAAATCACCCAGGAGTGCGAACATCAGTGCCATGCAACAAGCTGTCTACCATCCTAAACGTTCTTCCGCTCTTCAATGCTGCTTTTGCGTCGATGCGACTCGTCTCGGTTTCATCAGCCAAGGAGGTCAAATACGTTGGTGCGTGCCGCATCAACAGCCCTGTCTCCCCCTCCCAGCTTCATCCGCAGAGTCTCAAAGCATCCGGACAAGGCGGCTCTCTCTCATGCCCAGGCTTCTGGGCACACATATTATGGCCCCAATTGCAATCGCCGTCCCAGATCTCATCTGCCTCACAGAGGCCAAACAACACACATATTTTCTGAACAGTCGGACTCCCCTAAACGGGGCCCCGAGGCCTGGAATTAGAGAGAAGACGCGCAGCCATCTCGGAGATATTTGGTGACCACGTCTGTTGCCTGTTTGGTTTACAATTCTAGTGTGCTGTATTTCTTGTCGTTCGGCGCACGATGCAGATTCCAATATGCAAAGCCCAACCCGGCCGTAAAAGCTGAACTTGTTTGCCGCATAACAGACTGTAAGGATCTTCTCAATCGTTATGCTCTGGTAGCTGATGAAAAGTGTCGGTGTTGACGCTCGCTGGCCGGCGACGTAAGCTTTGGGTTCCGCATTTAGTTCGGTTTAGGGTTTATTAGCTGTAAGGGGTTGTTGTGAACCGGGATGGCTCACCTGCAAAGTCTTGCTCGAGAGGATGATGCGTGGTCCGTAACCCACACTGAATGCTGCACATGGACCGTTTTCGACACTGATTGTAGATGATCTTCACTCACTGCTGAACTTAGCGCTGTTGCAATGCGTAGATGCAGTCTAGAGCCCTCGCAAGCATTTTTAGGCCAAGAAAGTTGTACCGAAAGCAGCCCAACATTCCTAGAGTCGGTGTGCTGAGCCATGAGCACGTCAGATCGTTTGTATTTGGAGGACACATGTCCTACATTACAAAGACTGTTGCAAAGGCGGGGTGAGGCTTAAGCATGCCAGCCTCGCGGGAAAAGCCTGCGAGAGAATTTGGTTCATCTGACTGACCGAGACGCTGGATGTTGATTTAGGTCTTGCACCGACACGTGCATCCTCTGAAGTAGCCTGCTTTGATGTGATTCCGGGCAAAAGAAAGTGGCAGACGAGCTGGTGATAAGCTTTGGTCAACATGCGCAGTTTGGTTGACGATCCGGGCACCAAGCTGGATGACAGTGACTTTCTGGACTTTGAGGCGCGCGCGCGTTCTTTGCATCGCGTGCTTCGTGTGTGCTCTCTTCTTCGCAGGTAGCCTTTTCTTCGGCAGTGGAGGGCGACACCTTGAAGCTCAAGGAACTGTTGCTAGGTATCGCTTCGTGTAGAGTTCAGCGTAAGTGGTGGAAGTGCGAGCCTACCTGGCTTCACAGAGCGAGGTGTTCTACGAGTTCCTGGCCGATGTTCTGAAGCATGGGTCCAAGGACCGACGATCTTCCGACACAAGCCCATGAAATGAAAGCATTCTCACAGCATCTCAGAGCATCTCAAGCCACCTGCAGTCTAGGAGCTCTTGGAGCAAGTTTGGGCCGGCCTCCCGCTTCGCTTCGCGCCGGTCTCGAACTCTGAGCTCGAAGTTGTCCTGGACACTGCCGCCTTGGCGCAGAACGAGGAGCTGGTGACTTGACAGATCTGGGACAAAGAGGTGACAACACACATGTCACAAGTATTGTGCAAATCCGCGATTTTGTCCTGGAAAGAAAGTGGAAGCACAGGCAAGGCGCTGCGTGCAGCGAGTTGCCACCACCAGGGTCTGGTTGCCACTTGGGTGCGCTGACAGTGCTGTTCAATGCTGTGCAATGCTGTGCAGCACTGGTCAAGCTTTGCTTGAGCCAAGAAACTCACAAAAGCCAAGCCTCGCGTGAGCATCTCTAATCACTGCTCTCATCATGGCACAGCAGAGGCTTGTTGGACCTCTGGTGGCTCCTTTGCGCTGGCTGCGTGATTCCGTCGCGACCGGGGACAAGGCGGCGGCGACGGCACCGCAGAATGCCCAACAGGCACGCAAGGACGCCACTCGGCGTGGGTATGTCTTGGAGGTTGGATACATAGATCCATATACACATATATCTCTCTATATCCATATGATCAGTGCTGTAGTCGACTGAAGGCGATGGGCCCTGCGCCTGCAGCAGTCGTCTTGAATGTGCGGCGACAGGAAACTTGTTGCATTGCCAGCTGCTTACCCGAACTCCTGAACTCGTGCCTTGTGATGTGTTGGGGGGGGGCCCTTCTGTTTTGGATGGCATCTTGCAGTCATACTGGCAAGGTCCCCAAGGAGGATCGGATCTTGGTGATCTTGTCCATCCACTTGGAGGATGACGTCGATGTGGCCTTAGGTCGAGCATTTTGCCGGTGCCCCAGCTCACTGAGAGCATCAGCACAAGACATCACAAGCATACCGGAGAGGAACGGGAGGAGGTGGAGTGGACAAGATTTTAGCATCGAACTTAGAAGCCGCTAACATCGTGCTTTCGCTTGAAGGGTATTTGAAAGCGGATCTAACTCCCACAAGCCTCCCTGCATCTTTTAACAGCAAGACGAGTCCCCGCGTGCCCTGTCGTTTTGCTCTTTCGGGGCTGTCGACTGTCCGCAAGATAGTCGTCCATTCATTGGATCTTCTTTCCTTTCCGAGTAGTCATGCCACAGACAGAATGGCAGTCATGTTGACGAGCAAGATGCCAATAAGCCCTCGGATCGAGCTTAAACACGCAAGGTTTTGTTTTCGAGGCACGAGACAAGACTTGGGGTCTGTGACAGCAGCACATGGCAGAGTGCAGGTGAGGCCTACATTGCTTTTCAGGCACTTTTGTGATTCTCTCCAGTATCAAGGCACGCATGACATGCCTCACGCCCAAAGGCGCATGTGTCCTCCCCTTCGGCCCGGACCTTCAGTCTGAGGTCAAGAGTTTGCGGAGACGAACCGCGGCTTGCCAGCAGGGGTTCGGAGGGCTCTTAGGGATTCCCCGATGTCACACTGTTGCTTGTTTCTTTCTTTGTATGCTTCGTTTGCCGGCCTTCGTCTGAGGATGAGTTGGCCGGCAGGATTGATCCAGAGTTTCGCGTTGAGTCTTTGTGTGCTAGAGGCAAGGGCAACGAGTTCTCCCTGCCGCCGACTACTTAGTCTTGGAAGGTACCACGAAAGCATGCTGCTTTTGTTCTTCTGTCGGGGAGTTGCTGTGCATTGCACTGCCGGTACACCTCCTGGCTGCACTTCTAGCATCTTCGGGTATTTTTCTGGCATCTTCTGGGCTCAAGCCAACTGGCAGCGGGTCTCTCGACAAATCGTCGGACCCTGCCTTGGCAACTCGCCGGCAAGACTCGATCGAAACCCTGTAGCCTAAGCTCTAGGCTGCAAGGGGGAGCATGCTTTGGGAATAATTTGGGGAAGCTTGTCAAGGCTTTTGAGCGTCAGAGTGACAAAGTGGGAGGAAATGAAGCGGATCGCGGTGCTCTCGGTGGCATACCTGCTGGGTGCCGCGGCAAGCGATGCCGCGCCAAAACAGTACCCAGTGACGAAGGTCACGCCGCCGAATGCCCATAGCATGGGTTGGTGTATAGCATCTGTGCGCCAAAAGTGCGAGAATTGAATTGGCTTTGCCAATTTAAATCCTTGGCAGACAATGGTGCAGACTATTTCGGGCAGGTCGTCAACCTGCTCAAAGACATGCAGAAGAAGCTTGAGGCGGAAGCTGAGGAGGATGAGGAGGTCGATGAGAAGATGAAGTGCTGGTGCAAGGCGCTTTTGCTTCCACTTCTTGTAGCGAAGCTCCGAAGCACACAACATGATGAAGTGTTGCAGTTTTAACCCACCTACAAGCCCCTAAGTGCAGCTTTAATTGGGTTACTAAGTACCCTGAAGCTCCAAGTAGTTTCTCTTGTTGCGAGCGCAGGAGACAGAGCAATCAAAGTCCGAGACGCTCGGCGAATGAACAGATGTGATCGGAGAGTCAGAGGATGCATGTCCTGATCTTCAGTTTGGTGAGTTCAACGTAGGGTGCAAGACCTGCGTGTCGACACACTCAGGAGCGTCACCAAGATTGAGTCGGAGATGGCCAACCTCGGTGGCCTCATCGACACCTCGGCAGCGGATAGCGCCAGACTGGTGTCGGAGCTAACGGGCCACGAGGACGGCTGCAGTTTCTCTGCCTGTCGTGACACACCCAAGCCAAATTGGCAGCTTGTGTATCATTGTTTATTAGTGTTTATCAGTGTTTATCAGTGTTTATCACTGTTCAATATTGTTTCTCTCCGTAGCCACGAGCGAATGTAGGCTCGCAGCAAGGTTCTCCTTGACTGCCCTTGCTACATCTCCACGGCTGCCCTCACCCTTTGTCAATTTCGTGTTGCTTTCGACTTCGTGAGCTGGAGGAACATGAGCTCTGTTCGGACATTTTCGCGGTCTCTAGGCTCCACAGCTCACCTGCAGAGAAGGCCAGGACGTACAAGACGAAATGCGAGGAGGAACACATGTGCACAAAAGGCCAAACCGAATAGCGACCAAGGCCAAAGCCGAGGCCTTCGCCTGGTGTGCGATAGAACGAATCCGTTCTTATCTTGTACCTTCGACAAAGAAGCAGATATCGAAGCCATGCAAAGCCCGCAACTACAAGAAGACGAAGCAAGCACATCAAGCACATCAAGCACCACCTTGATGGAAGCTGGATTTGTTTGCCGGTTTGAAGGATGTGCCGTGCTGCGACTGTCTTGGGCAGTCTTGTAGAGTCTTTGTAGAGTTCACTAGCGTTGTGTCGCGAGGAGGATCTGGTACCTTGGTTTGCAGTTGCGATGCTTTCTGGTGATTTCTGGTGCTTCACGTGGCCACCCCGGCCGCCACGCCCCAAAGACCCAGGCAAATAGCCAGACCTCGCTGGGAGCGGCCGAAGCCCAGCGCAAAAAGCAGTTGGAAAGCTTCGAGAACGAAGTGAAGGAGATGGAGGCGTTGTGTCTGCGGTATGTCATTGAATCTGTTGTTCTAGCTGGACTGGACGTCAGTTGAACTCTGATTTATGGGGAAACATTCTCCATATGCGGCGCACAGGCGTCACTTACTGGAGTGAGCGGTGCATTGGACACCCTCAAGAAGAAGACGTCCTTCCTCTCAACCTCCGCACCTGGCTTGGCTTTCTGCAAATCTGCCGGCCATAACAGCACTGCAGAGTATTGCATATGATGCTTACTGTAGCAAATTGACATGAATGGTACCCTGCATGTGGCCAGTGATGACAGCTCGTGGTCCACAGTCAATGTTTTACCGAGGCATCGGCTGCCAAGGCAGATGCCTTGCAGCTTGTTAAGAAGCTTCAGAAGAAGCACTCGAATCTCTTGATGCCTGGCTGCCGGTTGTAGACTGGATCTGTATGACGTGCTGCCGTGGTCGTGGTCGCTTCCTCGATGAGGATGGGTGTGGTGACGCCTCGCCAGCGAAAGCTGATGCTCGCGATGACCTCCAAGCGCCTCGATGTAGATGCGGTCATGGAAGGCAGCCCAGCCGCAGGCCGGGCTTGTCATGCACCTTGCAGTGCCTTGCAGTGCCTTGCAGTGCCTTGCAGTGCCTTGCAATGCCTTGCAAGCTTACCTTCCTTACAGTGACGGTGCCAGGAGAAGTCGTTGGTGTTCTGTCGTCTATGAAGGACAGGCAGGCGTGGCTGGACACCTCCCGCAGCATCGCAGTCTGCAGGACACCTTCGAGACGAACCTGAACCAAACCAGGGCAGAGGAAGCTCAGAGCTCGGAGACCTTCCAGGCTCTGCGCAAGGCCAAGGAGACCGAGATCCACGCCACCGAGGAGGCGCCAAGCATCACGGCCACAGCATGCTTTTCTGCTTGCTTTTCTCGTGGCCGGATGTTGCCCTTCGTCAGGCCATTGTCTCCAAGAAGACTCAGAAGGCTGAATCAGACAAGAAGAAAGCCTGGGCAGCCGAGACACTGCAAGATGCAAAGGCGCGACGGTGCTTGCCAAGAGAGTGACGGCATATCACGGGCCGCCCGAACTGTGATATCTGTGAATGGAAAGGCCAGCCTCCTGGCTGACCAGCATTTCCTCAAGGATGCCAAGGACTCCCGTCGGCCCCTCCTTTCCCTCAGTCTCAGGATCGCGAAAGGCTCTGCCTTTCTATTTCTAATATGTGCAGAATAGACATATATATATATATATATATATATATGCGTGTATATACATACATATGCATATACACATATATGCACATATATGTATGTCTGTACTTAACTATAATCTTGATAATCTTTTGCGTGTGTGTGTGTGTGACAAAAGGAGAAATGTGCCGCTCATGAAGCTGCGTATGCCGAGCGTGTTGCTACGCGCAACGAAGAGATCACTGGCTGTTCGAAGGTGTGGACCCCTGCATCTAAGTTGGGTGACCGCTCGCCTACCGCAACCTTCTTGCTTCTTTTCGTGAAGGCCGTAGCTATCCTGAGTGACGACTCCGCCCGCGACACTTTCAGTTCGCGGCTCACTTTCTGATGGACAGAGTAGCATGTCAGCTTTGGCCTAACATTGTTACATTTTGTTACATGTTAACCGTTTGCACGGGACAGGCCGAACCTTCAACGCCGGCGCCATGTTCCTCCAAGTTGACACCAGCAAGGAGCACCGCATCACTGCCAGCCAGACACTAGCTGCGGCGGCTACCAAGTCGCACGACTCTAGGCTCCTGCCTCAGATCTCAGCATGTTTTGGGACATCGCGGGGCATGTGCAATGTGTACTATTTTGTAACAAGTTGGTGGGCTCGTGTGGTGGTCATGCCATGACATTGTGATTATTCCAACAAGGCTTGCGGCCCTTGCGAGGATGGTGCGCACAGACTCTTTCGATTCCGTGAAGCAGGCAGCGGAGTGGATTCATACCTTAGATCCACATGCTCTCCGTATTGCATCCACCGTTGAGGAAATCGACAAGTTGACCGCCCAGCTGCGTGAAGTGCAGAAGGACACACACACACACAACTGCACACCCACACATACCCGCCCACTCACACGCCTACACACACACACACCTACACACCTGCACACCTGCACACTTGCACAGCTACACGCCTACACACCGACACACCGACACACCTACGCACACTGACACACCTGCACACACCTACACACACCTACACACACCTACACACACACACACACACACCTACGCACACCTACACACACCTACACACGCTTAGACACGCCTACTAACGTCTACACACACCTACACACACCTACACACACCTACACACACCTACACACACCTACACACACCTACACAATAAAAACACACACGCACACACACACACACACCTACACACACACAGACACACAGAGACACAGAGACACAGAGACACAGAGACACAGAGACACAGAGACACAGAGACACAGAGACACAGAGACACAGAGACACAGACACACAGAGACACAGAGACACAGAGACACAGAGACACAG